TGAGACAGAGAAAATATAACATATTTTATATTATATCTATACTTTCAAAACTACAAATTCCCATATCAAAACTAAGTATTACCATCATAATTTCTAAATAGTAAATTGAATTAATTGTTGCATTTATCATTAATATTTTTAATCATGTTATATATTTTTTACAACTTTATTATTTACATTATTTTCTATAGTCTATATATTACGTATTATATAAAATATTATATTTTTTTCTTAAAAATAAAATTTTAAAACTATATCAATCATCAACAAATTTAATATTATATTTAATATTTAAAAAAAGAATTTAATTATAATACACCATCAGTGTAAAAATGTATTACATACACATCTAATAAAAATATTTTAAAATATTAAATTATATAAATAATTTAAAATTTACTTACTAACTTAATATAATATATGATTGTAATTGGTTGGTAATATAAAAATACTTTACATTTTCAATATATCATTCCTTTTCTATTAAAAAATAATTATTATTATAAATTATTTCTAAAAAACATTAATAAAAAAAAAAAATAATTATGAATTATTTCTCTCTCTCTCTCTCTCTCTATATATATATATATATATATATATATATATATATATATATATATATATATATATATATATATATATATATATATATATATATATATATATATATATATATATATATATATATAGGGGCCATATCTCATGAGAAAGTCTTTCTTATGTGAGAGTGAGAGGGTTTCTTTTTAGCCTTTAGATTACATTGGATGGTTGAGATTCATTGATGAAGTTATTTTTTTTCTTCTAAATCTTACTTCTCTCTCCTCATTTATTACGTTAACTTTTTTTTACTCTTTCTTCTCTCTCCTAATCTTAGTCATAAATTTTGATCCAATGGCTTATAATTACTCCTCTCACTCTCATATAAGGGACCCCTTTCTCACTTGATATGTCCCCTATATATATATATATATATATATATATATATATATATATATATATATATATATATATATATATATATATATATATATATATATATAATCTCAAATCCATCTAAACATTTGATGCAATTTTGAGAGATTTTTTTTTAATAGTAAAATTGTCTAAAATCTATCTCATAGACTCTACATAATAAAAAAAATTCAAATCATTCTCAATATTTCACATGGAAATGTAACGAAATTTACAAAAATAAAATAAATTCCATAAATAATAATTGTGTATAATGTTTAAAATACAATTCAATGACATAGTCTTTGAGATAGATTTTAGACAAATTTTTTAATATTACACACAGATTTGTTATAGAATTTAAAAAAAATAGTAAATAATTAACAATTATATATATTTTAAATCTATTTTAAAAGTCTTCATAATTAAAATTTGTCTCAAATTCATCTTAATATATCATACAAATTTGAAATAAATTTTTTAAAATATAGTAAAATAAACCATAATTATATAATTAATATTTTAAAGTAGTGAAATTCCACTTAAAAATTGAATGTCATTTGAAACAAAATTTATTTGGTCCTAAATTTTTATTTAAAATTATCAATTTTGGATAGTGTCCGAATTACACGCAATTCATTCATCACCAATTACATTTATTTTAATCTTCATTATTTTTTTTCTTTTGTTTTCACCACCGATGTAATCTCCTCTGGATCGAAGTTGCGGGAAATTAAACATAGTCATTTCTATTGAGTCTAACTTCAATCATTATTAGACCAACTAAGATCGATTAATTCTCTATTATTTTGTTTGTGGCACTATTATCTCTATATTTTATATTTGACTCTTATTTTAGTAAATTTATTTGATTTTTTTTAGTTATGTTGAAATTATATATTTTTATTCTTGAGAATTATAATCTTAATAAATTGTACTACAATAAATAAAAAAGTTGATGTTGTCACAATTTTTGCTTATACATAATTATATTTTTATAATGTTTTATTATATTTAATTACAAGTTTAATATTTTATATCGTATATTTTTATATCTATTAAAAAATTTTAGTTTATCAAACGGCCATCCAAAAAATTTGGTCTGGCTCCAGTACGATTATAGCCTAATCTCAAAATTATTTGAAATAACTGTGATTATAGAGATGTAATAAAGAAAAAGATTTTACACAAAATAAATCATTATATTCTACCAAAAAATTATGTTTGAAATATGTAATATAAATAAATAATGTTAAATTAAATTAAGAATTATTATTAAAAAATATTTTAAAACCAACAAATATCATATTAAATAGAATACGTAATACCAATAAAAAATAAAAGATATATAATTAATTTGATTAAGTTTGATTTGGTTTAAAAATACATCTACTATCCGATTTGATTCAAACATTTTCACAAAAAGATATTCAAAGGCAGAGTATTTAAATTCAGTAATTTTTTATTTTGTGTAACTTTTAATTATTTTATATGGATTTACAATTTTAATTCAAATCAATTTATATTTAAACAATCTAATAAAATACTAACAAATATTTAATTCATATCCCACGTATCTCTCCTTGAAAATGGGCACTTTTCTAAGTTAAATAATCTATGTGTACAGCTGTGATAGAGATTGAATCAATATAAATCCATATGTGTCTCTATGTTATTGATTCAATTGAGTTCTTCAATCCAACGTAGGCACAAGGTACACTTATGCAAATTTAGTTCAATCTATAATTTTTAACCCTAGTTTCATTGTTCATTTTTATTCTTTTCTGCCTTGAATTGCTATAGTTTTAATATGATTGAATAATTCTTCAGATTATATTAAGTTTCGACTCTATTTATTTCGTTTTGAATAATATTTTAATTAATTATTGATGATATTGCTTTGAAACTATTTTTTGACTAGAGTTTTAATTTCATGTTCTTATTGTATTATGTTATTATTATTGATGATGATTGCATCATTTGTGATTTTAGGTTCTATGTTATTCTTTTGAAGTGACTTATTATGAATTTTTCCTTTTTTGAGAAAATATAAAAGAACGAATAATTAAATTATATTTATTCAGATTCATTCATGTTTACACAAATAATTATCTAGTCAGAAATTACTAGAGTTTAAAATATAAAATGAAATATTTTATCACAGAAACTAACTAGAATTAATCATGTGTGTGGTTAAACTGTGTATTATGATTAGTATTGTTTTTACTGAAAAAACATGTAATAGCATGAGTAATGTGATTTGTCTCTAAAAAATATGCTGAATACCTATTAATTGATTATTTAAACAATCGATTTAAGTAATTTTTCATTGTTCTAAGTTTTCATATCATTCTTTTATAAATTCAACCGTTGTATAATGTTTTATTTCTAAAATCAGTTTTGTTAATGAATGTAACGATTTTTTTAATTATTTCATGATACTATAGTTGTAGAAAGTCAATCTCTATTCTTCAAAATAATTAAAGGAGGACCGATGGCAAGGATGTATTCCCTATAATATATCTTCAAAATATAAGTTAAAAAATTGTTTTTCTTGTCTCAAAATATTAAAAAAAAGAGTCAATATTCATCTTTTTAAGATAAAATTAAATATAAATTTTATTTAATTTATATTCTCTCTTCTTTTCTATAATCAGTAATCAGTAATCAATAAGAATTATTTTTACATCTTTCTAAATATTTTATTTCATTAAACACACAAATCAAATAATTATATTTTTATTTTTTCTAATAATTTTTTTTTTATTTTTATATTTTATGACGTAGGGAGTATCTTTGTGTATCAATCTTCAATTAATTCAATTAATGTCACTAATTTTAAAAATATGTACATTTACAAACATGTGATGTGACCCTTCAATTTGTTTTTGCTTATCATATTTACAATGTGTGTTCTGTTAAACTAATAATTAGTTGAATTAATTTTAAGTTTAAATGTTTAATTGATGATACTATTTTTTTTCTATTTTAGTTATGTAATTTTTGTTTATTTTAATGATTATAAATATTTATTATTTATTCTTTTGTTTTTCTCTACAATCTTCCGATTTAATTATTGCAATTACATGTTTATATTTGAAATGGTTATCATAATATAATATGGGATATATTTGATTAACACTCTATAATGTTAATTATAAAAATATTAAAATCAAATAATTTACATTTTACATAAATCATTTTTAATAAAAATAATTTTATTGGAACAAAAACAAACAAACAATAATAAAAGTAAATTAATATTTATGTAAGAACTAAAATTAAAAATTTGAAAAATAAAATTAAAAAATTATTTTTTTTTATATTTTTAGGGACTAATTGTATTTTTTTTTAATAAAAATTAAATTAGCTTTATTTATAGAGTATTTATAAATTATAGTTAATAAAGAGATAAGTGAATTGAAATTCAATAAATAAATAAAATAAAAGCATATTACTCCCTGTGACCTAACTATTAGTAGGTGACCTAACTATTAGTAGTCCATAACATTTTTTACTGTTATTATAAAAAGTTTGTAGTATAATTCATGTGTTCATGTCATGTATGAATATACTTAAAATATTCTCATTATAAATATTTAGTTATCTTTAATTTTCATATTCCATGATAATTTGTAGTACTGTTGATTATGGATTTATTTAAAATAAATTAATAAGTTTATTTTATAAATTTGTTTCATATTTATATGTAATTAATTATATTTTAATATATTTTCTTGAATTAGGTTTTTTAATATTTTTTTAATAGATTTATTCATGCTACTTCATATGTGTTTATAATTCTGATTTTGGAATTTGTAATGTGCACAGGCCTGATGACATGAACGAGATTCATATACACTCATAGCTTATCTTAGTTGTCATCTTTTTTATTCTTTCTTCGTTGGCACACCTTTACGAAAATCTAACCACTACTTCACTTTCTATCTCTCTCGGCTATATCTCTTCAACCAAAACACAACCCCTTCATTGATTCCTTCTCATTACACAAACCAACCCATTTTTCATCTCTTGAACCTACCTTAACAATGACTTTTCACTCTTTCGGCTCTATAATATATCCTTCAAATGACAATAACTACATTGGCAATGAAAGTTGCATCGACCTTCAAACCGAAGACAATTTTCTCTCTAATATTGATGATAAGTCTCTAGCTTCTTCCAATGAAAAAAAGATGAAAATGTCCATTAGAAATAGGGAGTGGAAGAGAGAGTTTCCTCCTCCTATGCCTTGCCTAGCTCAAACTCAAAACCTTGCTTCTCACATGCCATATGTGTTGAAAAGATACTACACTGACGATGGAAGATTGATCATCAAGGAAGAGAAAGTAAAACATCATTATTTTCATGCACATAGAGAGAATGGTAGACTCACCTTGCAGCTTGTTCCGGTTGGCCATAATAATGATGACAACGATTATTTCATGGACGTAAAAGAGCAAGATAAAGAAGTAGAAGAAAAAGAAGAGGAGGAGATTAACAATATTACTATGGATCAAAAGAATGTTGATGTTGGTGATGATTAGGTTGTTGTGGAAAATGAGAATGAGAGAGTAGGGGTGCAAATAAATAGTAAAGGAAATTATTTGAACTGCAACAATAGTGTGTTATCTTCGTCTTCTTCTGGTAAATTTGGGGTACTTCCTTTGCAATCTATAAGAATATTTTGTGGTTGATTAGTAAATTGAGTCAAGTTTTTTACTTGTTAGGTGCATGCAATTTGTTAAGCTTGTAGACTCTTTAATGTCTAAGGATTGTAGTTGTTCTTGTTCTTCGAAATAATGTTGTGTTTTTTTTTCTTTTCACTTTTGTTGTTATCTTTGTAACATTGAGTTTGAATATTTTGAATATTAATATATCATCATCTTATCTTAAGCTAGCACCAAACTTTTGTATTTTTGGAGTAGATCTTATATTCAATGATTGCAAATTACAATTCTTCAAGTATGGTTTTAAATTCCAAATTTAAGATTTCTATTAGACTGAAAATTTTACTTTGCAGCAAAATATTATGATATATCATTGTAGAGATCTTAGTTTTATAATGTAGGTTGTGAGGATGATGTTTGTGATTGTTGTCATTGTTGTGTCACTACATAATTTACTCTCTCAACAAAACCTCCATTTTCTACGTATAAATGTCACTATCTACTCACATATTTAAATTAATTACTAGCAATTAAAAAATATAATATTTTTCACTTAGTTTTATTATGCCAAAAGTTTATGTTAATGGTGGTTCAGTAAAAACATATTTTAGACGTGGAATTGCTTTGTACCTATTTTTTAGGGACAATAATAAGTTATTGTTCTATTTAAACAATTCACATAGTTGATAATATTTATGTTGAAATGTTCAAGGTCTTTTAGGTTTCAAAATTTATAACCTTCTTAAACTTTAACATAACCCATTTTCTCTCATCATAGGCTAGACTATTCAATAGACTTAAAAAATATTTAAATAGTTTTTCTCCCCATTTTCTCTAATAATGTAATTTTGTTTTTAAAATTTGATATTTGATATATTGAGATTGACTAATTTAAGAAAATCAAATTACGCGTTCTTTAGTGCGAGGACCATTTAATGTCAGTGAAAAGTTGTGTATATATCAATTGATCCAACACAACAACCAATACTCTTGCCCGTATACAAGAAAATCCTATTTAAGGAATTCCAATGAACATTTACACCAATCATAAAAACTGCATCTTCTACCTCAAAAAGTTATGGCCATCCATATAACATTCTCCCTATGCTTTGATGTGAAGCCCTTAAGAATCTTGAAAATCTCCAAAAAAAAGTGTTAGAACAAGATTTGGTTCTACGTATAATCTTTAGTTTTGATGATAATAATACATATATTTTATATGTAACAATTTTGTTTTCTAATATTTTCTTGAGTGTGTAGATATAATATTTTATTTGATTCTAGATAGTTATCTAGAAAGATCATTAGAATCTCTATTGACACGCCTTTGAAAGTACTATTGCATCCATTTCTAAAGAAACATCAGCAATTTTGATGAATGTTGTATCTTCGCCAGAAAAGGATCTCCATGTGCTTATCAGAAATTAAGCTTATGCTTTAATGATCAGAAATCAAGTTTATGCTTCAAAGATCAGAAATCAAGCTTATGCTTCAAAGATCAGATATCAAGCTTATGCTTTAAAGTTCATAAAATCAAGGTTATGCTTCAATTATCAGAAATCAAGCTTATGCTTTAAAGATCAGAAATCAAGCTTATGCTTCAAAGATCATAAATCAAGCTTATGCTTTAAAGATCAGAAATCAAGCTTATGCTTTAAAGATCAGAAATCAAGCTTATGCTTCCAGCTCATAAATTAAGATGTGCTTCTCAGATAAGCTTTTGCTTCCAACTCAGAAGACTCTGACTCTAAAGACTCTGATACTATTGGAACACTACTACAACGAGACGTATTCGGTTCACATAAAAATATTCCATCAGAAGACTAAGAACAAGAATGTGATCTCTTTTGTACTCTTCATTCCTACTTCAGATTAGAAGTAATCCATTAGAAGTAAGATCAAGAAATCTTGCATAAGAAGAATTAGTAAAATAGTACAATATCAATTCCGCTATGGTAAAAAATGCATTGTACGACCAAACAAATTTGTCTCCCTTGATCTCATGCTACCTTTATGGCAACTGACAAGTGAAAGTGATGTTTTATACTATCTAACGATCTACTTTGTCGGCCTATATGAAGGGAACTATTTCATTAAAGAAGGTGAAAAAATTGGAAAGAGAAGAAATACCCTTCAAACGACTACGACTACATTGACAATGAAAGTTGCACCGACCTTCAAACCGGAGACAATTTCCTCTCTAACATTGATCATAAGTCTCTAGCTTCTTCCAATGAAAAGAAGATGAAAAGTTTCATTAGAAATAGGGAGAACAAGAGAGAGTTTCCTCCTCTTATGCCTTGCCTAGCTCAAACTCAAATCCTTGCTTCTCACATGACATATGTGTTGAAAAGATATTACACCGACATGGGAAGGTTGATCATCAAGGAAGATAAAGTGAAACATCATGAGTATTTTCATGCGCATAGAGAGAATGGTAGACTCACCTTGTAGCTTGTTCCACTTGGTCATAATGATGATGACAACGACTATTTCATGAACACAGATGAGCAAGACGGAGAAGTAGAAGAAGAAGAGGAGGAGATTAACAATGTTACTATGGATGATGATTTTGAAGAACAAAAAATTGACAGCACTCAGAAAAATGTTGTTGTTGGTGATTATGAGGTTGTTGTGTAAAATGAGAATGAGATAGTAAGGGGTGCAAATAGTAAAGGAAATTATTTTAACTGTAACAAGAACCGTTCATTTGCAAGAACAGTCCTTCAGGTATATTTGGGGTACTTCCTTTGCAACCTATAAGAATAGTTCGTGGTTGATTAGTGAATTGAGTTAAGTTTTTTTACTTGTTTGTTGCATACAATTTGTTAAGCTTGTAAACTCTTTAATTGCTAAGGATTGCAGTTCTTGTTCTTCGCAATATTGTTGTGTTTCTTTTACAGTTTTGATGTTATCTTGGTAATATTGAGTTTGAATGTTTTTCTTTTGCAATTTTATTGTTATCTTCGTAACATTGAGTTTGAATGTTTTGAATATTAAGTATGGTTTTATATCCAATAATTACAATGCTTCAACTATGGTTTTGAATTCCAAATTTAGATTTCTATTAAGTTGGAAATTTTTACTCTGTAACAAAATACAAGAGAATGATATTGAATTTATGGGTGCAATATCATTGTTGAGATCTTAGTTGTGAGTGATATTGTGATTGTGGTGATTGTTGTGTCACTACATAATTTACTCTCTCTCAACATAACCTCTATTTTTTATGTATAAATGTCACTACTTACTAGTAACATGCAATTTAAAATGTAATATTTTTCACTTAGTTTTATTATGCCGAAGGTTTATGTTAATGGTGGTTCGGTAAGAACATATTTTGGACGTGCAATTGCAGTGTGCCTATTTTTAGGGGCAGTAATAACTTTTTGTTCTGTTTAAAAAATTCATATAGTTAAAGAATATGATATTGAAATGTTCAAGGCCTTATAGGTTCCCAAAATTATAAGCTTCTTAAACTTCAACACAATCCATTTTCTTGGAATTGGATCCTCTCCTACTTTTTCTCATGCTATCTTTCATGTATGAGTTTGAGCCATTGAATTTTAATCCAATGGTTGATAAATTAAATGGGAAATGAGAGTGAGAAGAGAGAAATGCTTTCACTTTCTTTATGATTTCTTCATGATGGCGGGTATAACTTCAATATAAAAAATTAGGCTTAATTTATTTTTTAGTCCCGTAACTTAATTTATTGTTTCAATTTATTCCCATAATTCTAACATGTTACACTATGGTCCTTTAATCAAACTCCATTAGACTAATAAATCCTTTCTGTCAATTTTTAGTGGAAAAACGTTAACATACGCCTATGTGGAAAATTTATGAACTGATGTGGCATCATCATGTTAATGTTTTGTTTCATTTTTATTATATGTACATACTGATGTGTCATATTTAGAAACATCAGAACTCTTCCATTTTATTTTCATAGTTTCATTGTCTAAAAACCTAGCAGTCGCGAAGAAAAGCTCGTTCTTGAAGACAACGATTGTTGGAACATAATAGAAGGCACTACAATAAATAATACATTTCATGATGAAGCTTTCATGTCCAAAAAGCTAAAACCGAGAGGATATGATATGGGAGTGCTTTATTAATAAGATAAACAACATGTTACGCCGGTGTTATTAAAAACTAAGGTAACTCAACTATAAGTTTGTGCCTTTTATAATCCTTAAAATAATAATAAACATGTTATCTTAGTTTTATTTTAGAACCGAGGCAATAAGGAACCTCACTTTGAATCCTCATTGTCTCATTTAATACTTTTTTCAACGATTAATCACAAGAATAAGCAATAATAGTAAAAGGAAATATTTCATTGATAATAAAAAAAAAACAACACAACAAAAAAATTACTCAACAAATTCAAACTTCTCAGTCCACTCAACTTATACATCACCCCTAACTATCCCTAATCGAGGGGTCTACTAATAAAATTACACTATAAAAAAACAAAAAGATTTTACCCTAATCCTTACTTAGTTATAGTCGCACCAAACTCTAAAATGCATCATTCTTTGGGATGAATTGTAAGACAGAAAAAACATTCAATGTTCTTATAGAACAAAACGTTTTTCATGCTCTTGAAATCTATCTCACATAATGGTATTGATGTTGTTGTTGGTGTTGATGTTGTTGTTGGTGTTTATGTTGTTTTTGGTGTTGTTGTTGTATTTTCGCTCATTTGATAGATTTCAAGTGCAGAAAACTCATTCTCCTTTCATGGAGACAATGAAGAAAGTTAAGCTCCCTTCTCTTTTCAAAATTTACGCAAAAAAGGGAGTTTAACTAATCAGATGATGAATATCACCGAAGATATTCATTTAAAGGAGCAAAGATTTGTTTTTAAACTAGTTATTTTAATATTTTGTGTAAACAATTTAAGTTAAAAAATACATTTCACCTCAGTTTTTTTAAAATATCGAGGTGATTGATAAAATCAGAAGATAAAATACCTGGATTTTAAGGTAAATCTGAGGGGTAAAGTAATCAACTTTTACTATAAATATCTTAGTTTATTAGATTTTATCCTAATTCTAACTTATATGTAGCCGCAACAGATACAAGAAATATTACATATTGTCCATTGTCGTGAAATTTTTTGATCTAGAAAAGTTTAAGAACTGATCTCTGAGATGGATTGCAAGTGCATAAATTAAAATAACTTATCTAAAGATGGATAAGTTATGGAGTGTTTTTTGAATATGAAACATAAAAGCATGCAACAAAACTTGGATTTCACCAAAGATCTGTTGTTGAAAACACTTTCTCCTATGATTTTGTCTACTTGCCGATAGATTTAAGGTACACTACCAAATTCCTTCTCTAGAAAATTCAGTGTTCATACGTTAAAAATAATGATGATTGTTGGTGTTGTGTGGTTTACTAGTAATTTGCAGAACTGGGCTGAATAAATGCTATGATTTTGTTAAATTCAGTAAGCCTAAAGCAGTTGTGGAAATTTTTTATAATATTGTGTTTCTGATATTCTTTGTAAAGAATGTAACTAAGAAAAATAAATTATTTCCACCTCATTTTTTCTCAAAATCGAGGGGATATGTTAGCGTTAAAGTTGATGATATATGTATCGCCCTTAATTAAATCCTTGTCATTTATTTTCATGACTATCAACGCTCAAAATACTATCATTAGTGATCCACATGAAACCTAGCTTAACTTCCATTATAAAATCATTTTGAATATCAAAAATATCATGAAGCGCTTGATACTATCCTCCACTTTAAGATATGCAAGAGTCTTTGTTATGAAGTGTTTTGTATTATGGATTGAAAGAGCGGAAAATTATTTGCATTTAAGGTTTGTGTACTTAAATATTTATTTATCTAACCCTTTTTTTCATCTAATCCTTTATTTATCTAACCCTTTTTTCATATAACCCTTTATTTATCTAACCCTTTTTTTTGTTAATATCAGAAATAAATGCAAGGAAAAACAATTGAGAATATGTTGTTTCCCAGCATTTGATCTTCCCAGGATATCAAGGATTTAAAGATCAAACGTATGATCTTCATGGACAACTTAAATTTTGTATTGATATTTTGTGTAAACAATGTAACCAGTTTAATATTCTGGGCAAACATTGTATTTGTAAATAAATTATTTTATTAATTTTTTGTGTAAACAATGTAACCAGTTTAAATTAAAAAATACTAATAATTTACCCTTTGGTTTTATTGATAAATCGAGATACATGAGGTGCTATTATTGTAAGTAATAAAAATGCATACGGTGTGGATAGAACCCATGCGCTATTAAAATACCCCCCATTTCTGTAAACACCGAGGTGATAAGTCTTTACTTTTCATGACAACCTTATTTACCTTGCTTCAGATGTTGAGGTAAAACGCATTTTGTGTCTGTTGTTAGTCGCGGTTAGATGCATTATATTTAATAGTGAGGTGATTGTTACCAATGTTACCATTGTCTCATTTCTAGGCAAAGGTACATGTATGAACTTAACATTGTATCATTTTCATAGTTATCATCTTAACATTTACTTATACTCCGAAGTTCCATCATCTTCTTCTCCGAAGTCACATTTCTTTCTTATTTATTATGATTAGGTCATGAGTGATAGGTTTAAGTGCGTTGTCCATCATGTGGGTGTGTTTGGTGAGTTTACCATACAAGGTTACAAGGGTTAAGAGGAGATTTTGGATTTTGACCCTGATTATTGGAGTTATTTTGAGATTATAGGTGGGTTAAAAGACTTAGAGTACCCAAAATTAGATAGCTTATGGTATTATGATGCAATGGATGATAATGAGTTAGTGATGTTGCAAGATGACGCAGGAAAAAATAGAATGAAAATGATTGCACTAATTAATAGAAATGTGCATCTATATGTAATGCATCCAGTGTTGGGGGAAGAGAAAATATTGCCTATTAAAAACAATGTAGGTCCCATTGGTGTAGAAGACGACAAGTTGGAAGATGACATGTTGGATGAATTGAACAAATGCTATTGTAATAGGAAATTTTGATGACTTAGGGACTATTTAATATTTGAATAATCTAGGTAATAAATTTGATGAAGGAGGGCCCGCTGGTGTAGAAGATTCAGATGCAGTTAACCAAAAAGGTTCACTTGAGGAAGTTAATATTGATGGGGCCACTGAGAACATTAACCAAAAAGATTCATGTCTAAATGTTAACTTTGAGGGGGAAGCCGTGTCTGAGGATGCAATAGTGAATATTACTTTAGATGGGACCACTGAACATGTTGTATGTGACCAAGATGATATATTGGATGACACAGATTACTTAGTAAGTGTTCAAACTGATTCAGTTGCTGAGGGACTTATTTGTAACCAAGAAGATGGTGAGGCACTAGAGTGTAACAAGTAAAATGAGGGGCTGGATTGTAACCAAAAATATTGTGGGAATAGTGAAGATGATAGTGTTTTGAAAGATAACTTTTAGGATTCTAATGATTCAATTGGAATTGTTGAAGAAATTACAATTGATATAGCTAGGGGGAAAGAAAAAGGGAGGGGAAAGGGTAATTTAAAAGGTAAGGGAAATGGTAAAGGTAAGGGGAAATCCAAGGTTGCGATACCAAGGAAACAAAAGTTAATGGAAGAAGAAGTTGTGGGTAGTGGTGTATTTGATGATGTGAATGAATGTGAGGCTACAAAAGAAAGCTTTAGAGGTTTGAGTGATATTGAGGAGTATGACACTGATGATTTACAACATGATTATGATAGTGAAGACAGTGAGGTTTTAAAAGATGATTTTCCAACTTTCAAGCTTCCAAAATGAATGGATGATTACAAGTGGGAATTAGGGAATTATTTTTCTTCTAGTGAAGACTTTAAAAAGGGAATTAGAATTTATGCTATTCATTCAGGTAGAAACCTCCATTTTAAGAAAAATGATTAAAAAAAGGATGAGATTCATATGTAAGACAGGTTGTCCATGGGAGTTTTTGTACCCCAAAATTTGCTCTCCCATATTTCTCAATACATTTCAAGTGAGGTTCTCAAATTGCTCAAGGTAGTCTAAAGGTTGACCAGACAAACCCTCTCCTAAGGCAGTCTACCTCAAATTAGGGTTTCAGTTTGCATCAACATGCTTGAGTCCAAAGGATATCAAATTCTCACCATTGTCCTAATATGTTCTCAAGATCATCCATGTCAAGTTTCAAGCCTTGTAGAGAAAGTTTGCTCAGTCAATTGCTCAAAAGCCTGAAAATCGATTGTGTTAGGGCAAAAGTCAACGGTGGCCCACATACAGTCAAGCTTCAAGATTTTTGGTCAACATTATCATTTTGAAGTATTATTCATCATTTGATCAAGGGTTTATCATGATTCCTCAAGGATTGCTCACAATTCATCAAAACCCAAAAGTTGCTAAATTAGGGTTTTATAGGAAAAGTCAACTCAACTTTGACCAAGCATAACTTTCTCATACTTTATCAGAAATGACCCATCCAAAGCTCATTTTGAATAGGATTAAATTACCTACAATACATCTTCATCTCACAAGTTCAAAAAATTCACTCACAAGAATATATAAATTCGGACATTATAGGTCATTTTGAAAAGTCAACAAAAACACCTTTTTTGTCAAAGCTTCATACATGAACATGGAAGACTCAATTGAGATGACACCAAAAGGGTTACTTAGAGGACATCTTGTGTTTTCTAAAAAGTCCAAGAACACATCTCTAAGGTCAAAATTGAGGAAGTTATGCATTGGCGAAGTTGACCTTTTTTGCAAAATTGCCAAAAGTCAAATATGTCTCAAATTGCAATTTTTGCCAAATAGGCCCAACTTTTTGTGCTTGCATTGAGTTGAAAACATGATCCACGACCCATGATCCATCCCACTTGCCTTTATTTTATTTTTTCCATTTATTTTGATTTTTACTTCAATTAAATCAAATTAAATCAAAATAAAATCATCAAAATATCAAAATCATTTCAACCTTGAGATTTTGTGCATATTTCAGGTCCATGAATAGCTGGCAATGAGATCAAATAGTGCAAGGCTTGTTTGTACACAAAAAGATTGAATTTTGGCTTGATTTGGAAAGATTTATATGAGAATCAAATCTTGATCAATGATCAATATTGGAGAAGATTGGATACAAATTTGTAAACCTAATTCACTTAAGGATACATATAGAACAAATCCAGACCAAATGCACAAGGGTGAGAGGCGTGAGAAGCTGAAGAAAAACTTGCAAAAACTCAAGAAAAGTGGCAAACGGATTTCATAGTTCCAGGCGTTTTCAAGTGATTCCAAGCATAGCATTCACTTGCTGGGCATTCAAGGAGTCTATCCCAATCATCAACAAGCATTTTTGTTCCCAAAAACGCATTGTAAGCATCTCACGATATCCTTACTTTCTTGAAAGTCAATATCATTATTTTGGCATTTATAGCATGAATTCTTTACATATTCTTGTTCAGTGAAACATTTTCAAGCTGATGATAATATTCAATTGCGTTTTTGTTAGCCATACAGAGATCTGCCATGATTAGGGTTTAGGGTTCATTTTTAGGGGTTTTGATTTCAGGTACAATTGGCCATGAAGAGTGGTACCATGATGCTCGTGAGGTTGCCACGAGTTGATTGGTACCACTAGAATTGATTTATCATGCCTATATGGAATTCTTGAGAAACACAGGGTTGTACCTATGCCCATGTGTATGTAGGTAAAAGTTCAGAACTTTAAACGACAGTTCCAGGGAAGAAGACGATAACGTGTCATAGCCAGACCGACTGATTCAAATTCTGGTGCGTTATTCTGGCTAGAAACCTGTAGATCTGATATATTGTTTGTTTCTATTATATTAATGAACTAACATCCAGCGCAGTTGGTCAGAAGAAGGAAATCAGAAGTTCAGTGTTCTGAGTTCGACCCCAGGCAAGAGCTTTTGGTATATTCTCCTTTGTTTTCGCCAGAGCCAGCATGTGCATCTTCATAAGATCACCACCTTCTGGATCCACCGGCCAGTAGAAACTCCAGTGCATCATCTTTCTGACCTATTAGACAGGATCAGATCCCGTGCATCATCTTTTGGATCCCATTCAGAACCAGATCCAGCACATGCAGGCCATCATCTTCTGGATCCCAGTCAGAATCAGATCCAGCACGTGCAGGCCATCATGTTCTGGATCCCATTAAGGACTAGATCCAACATGTCCCCATCTTTTGAGGGCCACCATCTTCTGGACCATCATCCTCTGGTCAGCGCCGCTGACAGCAGACCCTTGGGTTATTTCTTTTTACCTCTTTTAATTTCTTTTTTTAATTATTCTTTTCTCTATCAATACTAAAATTATTTTTTTCTAAAATTGACCAATCAAAATTAAATTCCTTTTTTTTACAACATCATAAAATCAATTTCACCAATTTAGATTTAGGTTTTACTTTTATTTTTATCAAAATTTAATTTAATTAGTTTAATTTAATTCTAGAGTAATTATAACTTTTTTTTGTAAATAAATTAAAATCAATAGAAAATTAGGATTTGTTTTGATTTAATTTTTATTTTCTTTTCTTAAAATAATAAAAATGCAAAAATAGCTCAAATTAATTATTTTTCTTAATTTAAACTAATTAGTAATTAGGTTTTTTCACTAAAATCTTATTTTTCTCAAGAATAATCAAAAACAACAAAAAAATGACATTTCTTTCAATTAGGACTAGACGGGGTCAAAACCCTAATTTCTCTCGTTCTCGATTCATTGCGCGTTTATTATTATTTTTTTTGCAAATATTAATGTAACTGCCAATGAGATGTAATAGTTCAATTAGGACTTTTCGCTTATTTATCGTTTTGCGGGTTTTTGGCTATGTAATTAATCCCCCTCCCCGAAGCCTCGTAATAGCGTAGTTTTATTTTCCGCATTTTAATTTTCGCAAATATTAACTGTTAGATGTATGATAATAGGATTGCATGATAAGAATGTATGTTAATTTTAAAATGGTTAGCAAACCCTAAATGTGCAAAGATAATAACTGAAATCAAATCACTCGCACATGCGCACTCCTAGGGTATACTCTCACTTCGGTTGCCTTCGGTAAACGATCATTAAGTATAGGGTGTTTTAGTGGTCGCCCTCCTGTCTAAACAAAGATCAAATGTCCCGCTCGGAAAGGTTGCCTCGGAAATGTTGCCTCGAATATGATCTTAAGACATTAGGGTTATTACTAAGTCGTCCTAACGTTGCTTTAGTGATTATACGTCCCTTTCGAATTGACCCTTACAACTCCAGCGATGGTGCTACCTACTCACTAATAGTGGGATAGTGATGTCTAAAGGAAACGAGAATAGAAACAATCCTTTTTCGAGTAGGTAGATGCTAGTAGGTACTTGCTCATAATAAACTTTTCACACCATACACTTTTCAAACAAAGTTTTGAAGAATACTTCGTAACACTCTTGAGGACTGATACAAGGGTTAAAACGAAGTAAAACAAAAACTTTTCAAAACACACAAACACGGAAGCAATTTAAAAATGATGAGCAAGTACCTAAGAGCCCGTGAAAAACCACGGGTAGAAAGGGTGCTAATACCTTCCCTTTCTATAATTTACCCCCCGTACTCAAAATCTCGAAAAAGGAATTTTTCTGTGCTTTTTTACTTTCCAGTTGGATAAAATAAAAGTCGGTGGTGACTCTTGCTTACCGTGACATTTTGCGAACAAAAAATGCAAAAACGCAAACCAGCATTTTCCAAAATAGTCGGTTCTGCCACCGTACCACAGAACTAGCGACTCTGTTGGGGAATAAATAAGTGGGGTATACCTTAGGATTAGTTCATCATATTTGCTTCTCTTGTATGATTTGATTGCTTTACTTTTGAGGGTTTTGTATCGGGAGTTACTATAGATCCTATCCCGGATCTGGGGATACCTTGTAGTTAAGTAGAAATAGACTGTGAGGGAACTGTACGACGTAGACCGATACGGTTAAAGCAGTAGCTACGTTGATGTGGCACATTGGTTGGTAGCGGCATTCCTTGTGGAGAAACGAGGAGAATACGGGTCTGCTGCATGATGTCGTTAAGCATCAACTGACCTTAGAACCTATAATTGACCAACTTGGCCATTAGAAAGTAGTGAGATAGCCGGCCTCGGTATAAAGCTGAGAACTGGTTGATACTAGATGCTACACTCATTGAGACCATACTCTCGAGATAGTTCCGGCTGCAAGAAAAGATTACGTGAGCTGAAACCTTGACCGATGGAGGATGGTCAGTGATATTGAGAACCTCTAGAACCCGATTACTATTATTAGGACAGGTTGAACCAACCGAACTTCAAGAGGGTAGTACCTAGACCCCATGCAAGCCTGAAACTTAAGGGCTCTTGTGTGACTTGTTTTCCTTTACCATGTCTGTTATCTGCTATACCTGTTGTGTGCTTTATCATGACATCATGCATCATAACATAACATGCATACTTCATTACACTAACCATTTCAAAGACCGAGGGGATTTATCTTTGTTCTGTTTTGCAGATTATGGCTTCCATGCGCAGAAACACCATCCGAGTTAACTTTGTGCAAATACCTGCTAAACTCAAAGATTTAGCCTCGAGAGTTTCTGATACTTCTTCATTCATTAGGAGACATGGTCAGCTTCTTAGCCTGGTTACCTCAAAGCTTGATGAGCAGATGATGAGTGTGCTTTTCCAGTTCTTCGATCATGTGCATCATTGCTTTACCTTTCCAGATTATTAGCTGGTTTCTACTTTGGAAGAGTTTTCTCACTTATTGGGCATATCCACCCTTGAGCAGATGCCC